GTCTCAGCTTCCTCCTCTGTAAACTGGGGCTGGGGGAGGCGCTTGTCCCAAACAAGGGAGGAAACAGGATCGTGAAGGAAGAGGTGGCCACGTCTGGACCACGGAAATGCGAGAGACTCCTGTAGGAGCAGAGACGGCGCCTACAAAAACTAAGGACGCGGAGAGCAGGCGCCCTTCACGGCCAATAGACCAGCAACGGCCACGCCCCCCAAGCCCACCCCACCCCACCCCCACCCCACCCGGCTCCCCAGGAGAGCCCCTCGGACAGAGGGTATCCCCCACATTCTGTGAAGAGCACCTCCAACGTCAGGGGGTGGGGTGGCCGACGGGCACAGCCTGGGACCCCGCATCCTAGGTGGGAGCCCCCAGCTCCAGCTTCCTGCTGCCGTGGCCCCTGGGAGGCAGCAGGTGACAGTGCTGGGGCCTCTGCTCCAGATGGCTGCAGCCTGGCCCAGCTCTGGCTCTTACAGGCATCTGGGGAGTGAACCAGTGCACAGATCTGTCTGTCTCTCTCTCTCTGCCTTTCAAATAAAAACAAAGTGGATGTAGCCCATTCAGTATAAATAATGGTCCCCAAATGCATCCACCTGCCCGTCCCTGGAGCCTGTAGGCCGTCCTGTGTAGCCACAGAGCGGACCCCGTGTTTGGGGGAAGTCAGCTGAGATGGGAGACCATCTTGCTGGGCTCTGAGTCGGGGTGGGGACAGGGAGAGACTTACCCCCTACAGTAGGTTTAGGGTGGCCCAGAAAACTATGGGTCCCCATGCCAGTTGCGGGGTGGCCTTTTGTGGGAAGAGGGTCTTTGCAGATGTAACTAACTTATGGATCTCAACATGACATCATCCTGGATTACCCAGGTGGGCCCTGAATTCATGGACACAGAAGGGGAGGGGCCGCTGTTTTGGCTCGGCGGGGTAAGCTGCAGCCTGCGAGGCTGGCACCCCGTATCTGAGCACAAGTTCGAGTCCTGACTGCTCTGCTTCCCACCCAGCTCCCTGCTAATGCACTGGGAAGGCAAAGGAGGGCGGCCCAAGGACTTGGGCCCCTGCACCCACGTGGGAGACCCAGAAGAAGCTCCTGGTTCCTGGCTCCAGCCTGGCCCCAGCCTGGCCCAGCCCTGGCTGTCACAGTCATTTGGGGAATCAACCAGCAGATGGAAGATCTCTCTCTCTCTCTCTCTCTCTCTCTCTCTCTCTCTCTCTGTCTCCCCTTGTCTTACTGCGTGGCTCTTTCAAATAAATAATAAACGTCAGGCCGGCACCACGGCTCACTAGGCTAATCCTAGGCACACTGGGTTCTAGTCCCGGTCGGGGCGCCGGATTCTGTCCCGGTTGCCCCTCTTCCAGGCCAGCTCTCTGCTGTGGCCAGGGAGTGCAGTAGAGGATGGCCCAAGTGCTTGGGCCCTGCACCCCATGGGAGACCAGGAGAAGCACCTGGTTCCTGCCTTCGGATCAGCGTGGTGTGCCGGCCGCGGCGACCATTGGAAGGTGAACCAACGGCAAAAGGAAGACCTTTCTCTCTCTCTCTCACTGTCCACTCTGCCTGTCAAAAAAATAAATAAATAAATAAATAAATAAATAAACGTCTTCTGAAAAAGAGACAGACGAGAAGCCACAGGCCCAGAGGGAGAAGGCCCGGTGAAGGCGGAGCCAGAAGTGGGGACGATGAGGCCAGGGCACCGCCGGGCGGGCAGGAGCTTTCCCGGATCCTCGGGCGGGACCGCAGCCAGCACCGGGTTCCAGCCCGGACGCTAACGCCAGAGCTCCGGCCCCTAGAAAATGCGCGTGATGTAAAGTGCTTATTGATCTTCATCTACTTCAAAGGCAGAGTGCGGGGGTGGGGGGGGTCAATCTCCAGATGGCTGCAATACTCAGGACGGGCTGGGCCAAAGCCAGGCGCCAAGGATTCCGCTTGGGCCTCACGTGGACGGCAGGGACCAGGTGCTTGAGCCATCACCCGCTGCCTCCCAGGGCGCACCTGAGCAGGAAGCTGGGAACGGAGGCGGGGCCTGGACAGGAACCTGGCACTCTGATAAGGGTGTGGGTCTCCAAGTGGGGTCCTAATCACTGAGCCCATGTTTGCCCCAACACCAATTTAAAAAAAAATATTTATTTGAAAGGCAGAGTGACAGAGAGAGGACTTCCATCTGCTGGTTCTTCCCAAATGGTAGCAGGAGCCCGAGGACTGGGACCGCCCTCCTCTGCATCCCAGGGGCCTTAGCGCGGCACTGGATGGGCAGCAGCGGGACTCGAACCAGCACTGACATGGGCTGCTGAGGTCGCAAGCAGCTGCCACACACCGGCCCTCCCACCCCCGCTAACTTTCTGAAATCCACTTGTACATAGTGCAATGATGACCACAGCCCAGATCAGCATCCGTGTGCGTGTGTGTACGTGCGTGTGCATGGGTGAGTGTGTGTGTACGTGTGTGTGCGTGCGTGTGTGTGTGTGTGAAATCCGCCGTCCTGCAGTGTTGTGAGCCTGAACCCTGGCCCTGCAGTCACCCCCGGACCCACCGCAGGACCCCTGTGCGGGTGAGATGTGGACCCTCTGCACGACACGGAGGACGCGGAGCACTTCCGGCACTCACACCCTCGGCTCCAGGTGTCTCCCCGGAGAAGTGCTGGCACCGGCGCAGGGAGGCAGGTGCACGCCACTGGCTGTGGACAGCAGTGACGGTGTCCATGGCCACAGCAGGGAGGCTTAGAGCTCACGTGGCCAGACCACTCCTGAATGGGGCCTGCACATCTCCCCTGGACTGGAGACGGGGTTCCTCTGGCTTCTCTGGAATGGCTGGACTTGCACGAAGAGACTGCAATTTGGACAAAAGTGAGCACCAAGGCACAGGGCTGTGCCCAGGTGCAGTGGGCTTCCTGAAAGTGACAGAGCCCACCGGGCCCCTGGTCCGTGACCAACCTCTGCTGGGATGAAGAGCCCTAGGGCAGGTCCAGATCTGCTGACTCCGCCCCTTTCTGGGGGGGATGTCCCGAACAGCAAGTCAGCGAGAGGAATGCTCAGTGACCCGGTGTGGGGGAGCTCAGGAACCACAACCTAGAACAACCGCCAGCTGCCAGGAACGGTCCGAGCCTGGGGCACCGGGGCTACCAGGATCTCCTCCCAGCTGATTCCAAGGGCGTCCCCCCTCCTCGGGATGTGGGACACCTCCCTGCTAGTGTACGCATGGGACAGACACGCCCGCAGCGCAGGGCTCAGCCATCCTGCCCAGCCCCCTGCGAAACTTTGTGCAGCTGGCATCGCCTCTGCCCTGGATGCCATCCCCCACCAAGGCTCCCGGCCTCCGCCTGGACCGCTGCCCACAGCAGCTCCCCAGCGGGCAGGCCGGCAAGGGTCTCTGGGCCACTCCCTCCCCAGTTCAGAGCCCTCCGCCCTGCTCCCGCTTCCATCAGCATAAAAGCCAAAGTCTGCACCACAGCCGAGGGCAGCCCACGTGGGCTTACGCACCGCATCCCCACGTGTGCACTTTTCTTCCCGAAACAGAACGGAACAGAAAGCAACACAGGCAGGGCGCTGCACACGGCAGAGCAGTGAGCTGCGGCAGGTAGCGGAATCGGTCAGCCCAGAATCCCCATGTTACAGCGCGCACACACACACGCACGGCGAGAGAGCACACAGGCTGCCTCCCAGAGATGGAAACCTCACGCTGGGCTGCAGAGTAACTATGTAGTGAGGCGTCCATCCCAGCGGTACACACAGCATCACACAACGTGACACACGACATGGCATGGCGTATGTTTCCTGCATGAAGCTTGCAACACGTGCAGTGCGTCCATGCATGTGCACACACACACACACACACACACACGGGGAGCTGTGGGCGATCACGTGGACGTGCACACGGGGCTCAGGTGAACTCTTGCTGCAGGTGGCGGTGCCCCGGAGACGGCTCTGCGGGCGTGAAGGAAGCCAGGCCAGGCAGAAGGGAGGCAGGCGGTCCTGTGGGGGCCCTGGAGGCTGTGGGACCCCCAGAGCTGTGTCCGCTGGGGCGGAGGGGACCACCTGCGTTTGCCGGATCTCCCTGTCCATGCCCCTCCCCTGTGCATTCTCCCTCAGGGGTGAGTAAGCTCTAGAAAGAGCTGGAGAGGAGCCATCTCCAGCTTTGGGGGCCATTCGCGTCTGGTGCAGACACACAGCCCCGCCGGCGGAAGCAGCCGCAGCCACAGGAAGTGTGGACAGAGAGAGAGGCGGCAGGGCTCCACCCGCACAGCCCTGCTCCGGGGACTCTGACAGCCAGGATGCCCGCTGCTCCAGGACCGGCTTCGGGGCATCTGTGGGTGCTGCCCACCCGTCCCTTTCCCCGGCGGCTGTCTCTTAGGCCTCCCGACCTAAGCGGCCGCCCCCACTGCCCCTGCTTGGTTCCTCAGGCCTCCCCGCGGCCACCCCAATGCTGGACTGGCCCTAGCACCGTCCCCGTCCTCCCCAGCCTAGACAGGGGCGGCGGTGGGCAGGTGCTTGTCTTGTTCCTGGCTGATGGCCAGCTCCGGGAGTGAGGCCAGGGGCACAGCAGGTGCTTGGTGAGCCCCCCTGCTTCTGTCCAGGGAGCTCCCCCAGCACTGGCCAGGGGGACCCATGCCTGGCCACTCAGCATCACAGTGGCTGGACGGGCATGGCCTGCGGGCTGGGCTGGAGCTTACGTGAAGTTCTCCTGGGTGGCTCTCAGCCGTCAGAGAAAACAAGGGGGCAACAGGACCAGGCAGGGCTGGAGGGCCCGTGGCCTGTGACTCTCGGCCCAGCCCCCTCTCCCAGATACCCAGGGGAGGGGGCGGTGGCGCTGCTCCAGCCAGGTCTTCGCGCGCTGAGGCCCTGCGAGGCCGGGGAGGGGCTGTCACTGCTGTGAGCGCGTGGCACCGAACAGCGAGGGGAGCGCGGCGGGCGGCCCGTCGACGTTTCTTGCATCACAGGCGCAGGAAGGGCCGCTTCTCCACGGTGGGCGGGGACTCTTCAAGTATGAAACACACACGCACATCAAATTGAAGACACCAGCTTCACGTTCAAGTTTATTCTGACCCCTCTCCCCAGACCACAGCTCCACCAAGGTTTAGCCAGTAGGAAAGCAGAGCCTCCCCCCAACCCCAACGGCTGCAAGCAGAGGGCTGCTGCCCGCCGGGACCAGCCACCTGCAGGGACAAGTCAGGGCAGGCGCAGAGCAGGTCAGGGGGCGGCTCGGGCCCAGCCTGCCCATCCCCCACCCCACCTCTGGGTGACTCTGCCTCTCTCAGCTTCATCGCCCATGAAATGGAGAAAATAACGGGGGCTCAGGGAAGGCACGGAGGACGCCCCCGCCCCCGGCAGCCAACCTCGGGGCTCCATTAGAACAGTGATGGGCAGTGGTAACCATGGAAACCGGGCAGCGGCCCCTCCCTGGCTCCGCCCACCACCCCCTAGGCCACTCCCAATTTCGGCTTCCTTGGCTTCTACCTGGGCAGGTCTGTGCCGGGGGAGTGGAAGAAAGCCTTGCCTCACCCCCACCCCACCTGCAGCTTCAGGGAACGGCCGGTGGGAGGGACGTGCCTGTTCACTGAACGTGCTCTGGGGCTGTCTGCCAGGCACGGAGGGCCCCCACTCTCAAGTGCTCTGTGTAGAGACCCCGCCTCTCCAGCCAGTTACCTGCCTCCCCCCTGTAAGAGCAGGCACAGCCGGGGCCCAGCTGGGCTGAACCTGGGTGAGACAGATGTGCGTCCTGACGAAGGAGGGCGTTCCCGGGGCCCGGGGACAGGCAGCGCTCATCAGTACAAGCGGGCGGGGTGGCAAGTTCAGTTCCTGTCTCTTTCCTTTGTCAGAAGAGAGCAGGCGATGTCCGGCTGGCTGGGACCGAGCAGGTCAGTGTGGTCTGGGGTGCCAGGCAGTTAGAGCTGGAGGGGGCTGTGCCACCAGCTGTACCCGCCAGGGCGTCCCGATGGAAGGGGGAGCCCCATACCGAGTTGCCTCCACCTCCCTGGTTTCCACTGGCCGGCGCAGGTCGGGTGGTGTGGGGAGAAGGCCATGTCAGGGCACACGTGGCCACGTTCAAGTCCAGCCCTGAGTCCTAGTTCTGGGCGGAGGACGCTGCGTGGGAGGCGGGCGGCCGCTCCCCGGCGGCGCAGAGCTGGGCGCGCACCTCCTGCACCTGCGCGCGCAGCTCCTCCAGCGCGCTCTGCGGCGGCACCGCCTGCACCTGCGCCTGCAGCGCCTCCAGCGCCAGCGCCAGGTGGCCCACCTCGTCCCGCAGCGCGTCCCAGGCCGCCCGCTGCTCCTCCTCCTTGTGGCGCTGCTGCGACTGGTGGCGCCAGTACTCCAGGACCAGGCAGCCTCCGCCCACGATGAAGATGGTGGCCTCGCCCAGCAGCTCGGCGCCCAGCTCGGCGGCCGCCTCCTCGTTCAGCGGCTTGATGGCCGTGCCCCGGAAGCCCATGATGCGCATCTTGGTCCGCATCTCCACCCAGTGGTACACTGCGAGGGGAGAGAGGGGTCAGCTGCGTGCGGAGCCCGATCCAAACCTTGCCCCTCCTCGCCACGGTCCTCAGTGGTGCAAATGGGTACGCGGCAGCCAGGATGCGGGGTGGGGAATGGCGGCGCGTCTGGACAGCACCTGCACCCAGCGTCACCCAGCGTCACCCCAGGACATCTCTACAAGCGCCCTCTGGTCCTGCAGAGGCCACGCCCCTGGAGTCACAAGGACCTGCTGCGAGCCAAGGTCACAGGTATAGAAGCACAGGTATATAGCTCCCTCCGCTCCTCCCTTCAGTCACGCTGGGGCCAGGCCGCCCTCCTCCCCTGGCACTGCGGCCCCACCCATCTCCCACAAGGAAGGCCAACCCCCTTCTTTATCTTCCGCAAGTGTGAAGTTGGGGTGCTGCGAAGGGGGAACCCGTAGGGTAAGCAATCCTCTCCCCACACTCCGGGGCGAAGGGGGCGCTCAGTGCCACGCCGGCACCGGCTTCCCAGTGAGGTTCTGGGCACCTCCCTAGGAACGGGCACACGGCAGGCGCCGCGGGAGCAGACACTGAGCAAGGCGCTCAGCCCGAGTCCCTGAGACCACGGCAGAACTGCTGCTGACCGGGACTCCCTCCCGCCGGAGTCCCCGTGCCTCCGAGGGCACGAGACGCTAGAGCCGAGCCGGCCACGGCACACTCGGCACACGCGAGCCACAGACATGCCTGCCAGGAAGGTTTCAAACTGTGCACTAAAATTTTTAAAATCAGCTCAAACCAGAAGAACCTCTTTCATCACAAAGAACCTTACGGTCACAGGGAATTAAAATGTGAATTCTGCACGCCGTTTGGTTGTGGGTCTATGACTCCTTGGAGGGAATGCGGGGGGACCGGGACGGCATCTATGAAAGTGTACAATTTCCGACTGCAAAGCAGAGCCCGTTCCTCCCAGTTTCTCCAGCTGGACCTCGGCAGCACCAAGGCACAAGATGGGTTCAGAGGGCAGCTGGACACTCAGGACACACCAGAAACGCCATCTGCTGGGACTGCACAGCCGTGGGAAGCGCAACTTGAACGTGCAGGTTTACCTGTCCCTGTCTTTAAGGGGCGGGGCCTCTGCTGGACTGCAGACAGGAGGCCCGGGCCCTGGCGGCCACTGTGGCAGCCAATGGGGGCTTGGCCCTGGGGCTGCTCGGGGTCCTCCAACACTAAGGTTTTAGCCCAAGAAGGAGCTGGGGTCCCGGGGGTCTGCTACCCACCGCCTGGGCCACCTCACCCCTGGTGACCACCACACCGGCTCTGGGCAGGTCCACCAAGTTGTGACACAGCACAGAGGCCCCACCCCCGTGCCGCTCCAAGCTCCGGGATGTCCCCATCTCCAGAGCCATGAGCTAAATAAATTTCCGTTCAACACAAATCAGTCTCCGGCATTTTGCTAAGGCAATGAGGAAAGGGCAGAGTGCCTGGAGCCGGTCTCGCCTCCACTCCCAACCCAGCTTCCTGCCGGTGTGCACCCGGAGGCAGCAGGTGCCAGACCAGTGCACGAGGGAGACCCAGACGGAGCTCCCGCTCCTGGCTTTGGCCTGACCCAGCCCTGGCTCTTGCAGGCATTTGGGGAGTGAGCCGATCGATCGATCAATCGATCTCTCTCTCTCTCTCTCTCAGCCTTTCAAATAAAGCAATCCGTAAGCTTTTTAAAAACAGACACGGCACACTGAGCATGTCCACGCCTGGAATCAGCTCCCAGCAGAGTGGACCGAGCGCGCAGCCGGGAGGCCTGGGGCCGCGCGCGGCAGACCCAGTAGGAGGAACACACGTGAGCGTCCGGGAGCCGAGTTCCAGACACTTGGTGTGCTGTGTCCAGACACACGCTCATCTTCGGCCGTCTCCCAGGGCCCTGGCTCCGTAGTTTGATTTGGAGACCTTTAATAACCTAACACCTCCAGGCCCAACAATCGGACCAAGGTACACGGGCCTCCTGCAGTGCCCTCCCCAGCATTTGTGGTTTGAGGGTAGACCTCTCACAGTTTCCATCAGGCTTATTCCTAGACCTCGGCGGGGTGCTGATACTGTTGTAAACGTTTCCAGTTGTTTGCTGACAGCATATAAATACAGTTGACTTCTGTGCACTGATCAGTATCCAGCAAGGTCACTGGGAGCCTCGTGAATGTCAATGCCTTCCTGGACTCGGCTTGCGATGGGCGCAGTGACGTCATCAGTCAACACGCAGTCTTGCGTCTCATTTCTGCCTGGTTACATGGCCTCAGCCTCCAGTAGGGAGCTGGCGGGTGGAGGCGGTGGAAGGCGACCCTGGCTCATTCCCAACACTGGGGCGCGCGCTCCCCTCAGCTTTCGGTACAAGCAAGCTGTGGGCCAAGAGTCCCTCTCTCCTCTGGCACCACGGGCACGCGCTGAACGCCATCGGTGGCTCCCCCGGGGCAGCGCGGCTTTGTCCTTCAGGCTGCTCCTCCAGTGGGCTGCACCGACTTCACCAGCCAGACCACCCTGCAGGCTTGGGGTAAGTCCCACCCACCAGCACAGCACACGGCTCTCGCCGCGGACGTCTGACCCGGCCCCAGAATCTCCCTCCCTTGTGATGCCCCGTGCAGGGCTGGTGCCGGGCGCCGGGGAGGAGCCACTGCTCCCGCCCTGGCTGCGGGTTAAGGTGGCGTGGGCACCAGTGTCGCTTCTTCCGCGAAGCCGTCCAGGCCTGCAGCTTTGTTTACGACTCCCTGTCTCCACGGATACGAGACCACGCAGGTTTTTATGGCCTTCTTACGTGGATACTGTTTTCCGTGGGACTGTCCGTGTCCTCTGAGTTGTTAGATTCGCTAGCCAAGTCGTCCTGGACGACCTCGTTACTGAAAGGGAGGCCCTCCCACACCTCGCCCGCCTCTGACGGCAGCCTGTGCCCCTGCCCGTCGGTGCCCACTCCCCCTCCAGGGCACAGCGTGGGGTCCTGCTCTTCAGCAGCCCCGGGGCTCCACTTCCCAGCCCTAACGGGCACCGCGGGTGACACGTCTGCCTCTCCCAGGGACCCAGAGCTTCGCAAGGGCCGGCCCTTCCATGTCCAGCCTCCTCTTTCCCCGCCCGGCCCCAGGGCCTCTTTCAGAACTCGGGAGGACCGGGAGGACCGCCTCTTCCCCCAGGAAGCCTCCCCGGACTCCCCCAGGCAGGGTCACAGGGACTCTCAGGGCTCCCACAGCACCGCTGTTCTGGGTCAGCTGACTTCGGAAACACAGGCCCGGCGGTTAGGCAGGGTCCCACCTGCTGCCAGGCCTCTGGCAAACTGCCCCAGTCCCTCTAAGCCTGGAGACCAGCGTCCTGACCCCCCGGCTCCCACGGCGCTGGGCAGGCGCGCAGTGCCTCCAGGCTTCCTCCCAGCCCCTGCGTGAACGCTATCCTGAGTGTCCACTCTGCGACGACTCCCGCCTGTCCTGACTTCAGGTCTTCCTGCCTGACGTCCACTCGGCCTCTGCGGACCTCAAGCCGCTTCTGCCTGGGGCTGAGGGCTTAACCGCAAGCCAAGTGTCACTCCTGCCGGGGCCGCCACCTGCCCTGCGGCCCCTCCGCTGGTGTTCCCGGTGCCACCTTGGCCACACGCCGCCACCTGTGCACCTGAGAAGCCACACGGGCCGGGCCGGGCCGGGCCACGTAGCAGTGGGGTCGGGGTGGGGACCCTCGGATCCTCCCCCCCGCCATGACAGCAGCGCTGGAGTCTGCAGGCGACCTCAGCCGGCCTCCCAGCCCAGGGCCAGGCCCCGCCAATGGCAGCCAGGGCTGAGTCACAGATCTGCACGCGGATCTGGGCTCTGTCACTTCCTGGCTGGCTGGGCTGAGCCTCACTAGCACGGCGGTGAGAAGCACCCAGCTGGCGGGCAGAGAATGAAACCGCTCGGCTCACAAGTGTGCGCCAGCCGCTGCTTCCGGCCTGGAATTCCATTCCAGAGCTCGGCCCTGGGCCAGGCAGGACACTTCTCAGCCTGCTCACTGCCCACCCCCGCCCCACAGCAGGTGTCCCGACCCTGGTGCCCCCTCCAGGAAGCCTTCCTTGACCAGCAGGTCCCTCCCTGGGGCCCCGACCCGGCTCTGACCACGCCAGTGTCAGTGCAGTGCCCCAGCCCCGCGTCTGGTCACCGAGGTGGCTTTATGCCTTCTGTGCCATCTGTCCCCTCAACAACAGGCGGTGCCAGGCCCCTCCCTCAGGCTGCCCCTCCCCTGTCCCCACAGACCCCTCCCCTCAGCTTCAGGGGCTGGCAGCTCCCAAGAGACCACTGCCCGAAGCCCTGTTGTCACATCTACTTCCTGGGACAACTCAGCCCCTCGTGACCCAAACCCCTGGCGCAATCGCTCTCGGCCGAGCTCCCGGCGTCAGCCCGCCCAGGTGAGCACACGCCGGCGCCAGCCCCCAGCAGCGACACTCAAGCACCGGCCACAGTGCGCGGCGCCGGGGGCCCTTCCTTCCGGCAAGATCTGCGGTGTCTGCACCCTCACCCTCCCCTCAGGGGACTCAGGGGACAGGCATGGCGCCCCCCCCATGGGGGGCCTGCCCACTCCTGCTGCTTCCCTGTGGAATGCGGGCGGGCGAGGCCCCTCGGGGGCACCTGGAGTCAGGGCTGAAGCAGCCGGAGCAGCCCAGGCCGGAGGGCGTGGCCTGCACACCTGCCCGGGAGGGGCTGGGCTGCTGGGAAGGCGGAGTTTCTCCATGCGGGGCGGGCAGTCAAGTGCCAGGCCCGCCCTCCCCAGGACGTGGACGGAAGGGGACCCGGAGGATGGCAGGTCCCTTACTCACAAGCACGGGGGTGGGGGGTGGGGTGGGGGGGTGGGGTGCAGACCACTGCCCGCTGCCTGTGGGAGCAGGGAGTGGGCGGAGACAGCGCGGCTTCCTTCTCCTTATCAGACGTCACCCAAGGCTCTGACTCTCAGTCAGGCCCTCGCACTCCCTGTACGTGGGCTACGAGCAACCAAGGAAACTTCCGGAACACATAAACGTGGTTTTCAAGCTTGTGCAAGCCGGACGCATGGGCACTGCCTGTGGCTCCCCAGCCCCCTGCTGACCCCTCCCCCGGCTCCAGCTCCTGCCACACACACACACACACACACACACACACACACACACGGGACACCGGGACTGACTGCCTGGCCCCGGGCCGGACACTCCATTTGGGGAGTGAGCCAGCAGGTGAGAGCTCACTCTCCCCGCCCCCCAATAGGTAAATAACGATTCAGAAATGAGAAGTAGCTCAAAGTACTCTCCTGGGTGAGAGCCCAGAGCAAAGCCCACCCTTCAAGTGACCAAGCAAGGGACCAGCGGCGTGCTCGGTGACGTCAGCGCTGAGGACACCTTGCTAACCCACACGCTCCCTCCCTCGGCGAGGCCCTGCCCCTGCCCCCAGGCTGGTCAGCGTCCACCCCCCTTCCCCGCCCGCCCTGCCCAGAGCTTGCAGTACCAGCCCCGGCCAGCCAGGGCTGTGGCCGTCTGTTCTCCGGGAACAGCCTTGCCGCCTGCACCTGAGTCTGGGAGGGGGCAGGGTGAGCGGGTGGAAGGCCGGCTCCTCTGAGGGGAGAGGGGTACGCAGCCCCTGAGGGTCCACACAGCCGCAGGTCTGTGGGCGGGAGCCACAGGACCCACCTGGGGCACCAGGACCAGCACTTCTTTAAAGAAAACAACTCGAAACAAACTTTTATGTCCATTCAGACAAAATTCTAGAAAGCACGCGGAACCCGCAGGGCGTCGGTGAGGAGCGAGGACTTGGGGGACAGGTGAGTTCCTTCCCTGGGGGCCGCGGCCTCAAACTTGCCAAACTGCCCCCTTTACACCTGTGCACACATCAGCTAAACCTCAGGACAGCCACAGACAAGAAACAGAAAAAAGAGAGTAAAACAGAACAGGGCAGGGGCTGGTGCTGCGTGCAGAGGGTTAAGCCGTGCCTTGCGAGGCCAGCATCCCATACGGGAGCGCTGGTTCAAGTCCCGGCTGCGCCACGGCTGATCCAACTCCGTGATAAAATGCCTGGGAGAGCAGCAGATGATGGTGCAAGCGACGGGTTCCCTGCCACCCACAGGGGAGGCACAGACGGAGTTCCAGGCTCCTGGCTGCAGCCTGGCCAGCCTGGCTGTCCGGGCTTCCGATTCTGTATTCCTCCTAAGGCACACCCTGGGAAGTGCGGGTGGTGGCTCACGTACTCAAGACCTGGACGGAGGTCCCAGTTCCTGGCTTTGGCTCCAGCCCAGCCATGGCCACTGTGGATATGCAGGGAGTGAATCAACAGATAGTGGCTCCCTCCGCCTTTCAAGCAAATAGAAAATAGTAATTTTTTTTTTAAAGGAGATGGTGGACATTGTGGCACGGCAGGCTGAAGAGCCCCTACGACGATGGCTTCCCATG